GTCCTCATAGAAGTACAGCTATACTAACTGGTATTGCCTACAGCAGTTTCCAAAGTGGTGATACTGAGAAATCCTCTGTCCTGCACTTCTCAAGCTAGTGCTCTCCTGGCTCGGTGGTCTTCCATGCTTTTCGTCCGGGGAAAGTATTGGCTTCTCCCCGTACTCACCTCACCTTCTTTATGTTTCTGGCCTAAGTGTTACCATTTGCTTACAGTGGTAACAGTACATCATGAATTTTCATTTACAGCTTTGAGATACTTCTGAGGCTTTCCTGCTGCCCACCCAGCCCCAAACTTGGGACTTTTCACACACTGATCTTCTGATCAGTTTGATGTGGGAAGCACATGGAAACCATGAACCAGTTTGTATAGTGGTACCCTTTTAAACTGCCTACTCTTGAACAAAGTAGACTGTGCTGGGGGTTTGCACTGGCTGCTTGACATACACAATGCCAATTAACTTGCATGCCAAAAAATAAAAATAAAATTAACCCTTAGAGTACTGCTTCAACATTTTGGTTTAATAGTCTTGCATTTTACAAGTTGGGCAATGCTTCTTTCCTCAGATCAGAATGCTGCACATAAAGTCCATACTTAGCCTAGCCAGAACATCAACCAGGATCATCTCCTCCACAGCATTCCTGAGATGCTCCTGGGTCCTTCACTATTAATCAACTTATGGCTTTAAAAAGGTCCAAAACACAGCCACTGTGTTTAATTAGAAATGGGCTCAACTTCTAACATGCCGGAGGGTATGAGGGACTGTTTTTAGCTTTGGTACGTGTCCTCTAAAGGAAAAAAGTCAGTTCTTTAAGGGTTAATATGAAATTAAGGAATTTCGTGGTGTCTCCTGCTTGTCCTTCCCCCAAGGAGTCTGCATGATCCTCTTTAGATTCTTAGCTCAATTGTTGAATGATGATAAAAATAATATTTGTGTAGGATTATGAAAACAAATAAAAGAAAAAGAGACTGAATGGTTGAATGGAAAGACCCCTTGGCAGTGCTTGCTCGATTATCACAGGGGGTAAAAAGACCAAATGTTTTATTTTCTGATCATTCATTTTGTCCTCTACCCTGAACACCACCACTGCACAACGTTGTGGGAGACTTGATGATGCTTGTCATTCACCCCTTCCTTTTTCTTCTTCCTGTCTAATAGCCCAATAGAATCCTGCCAGAATTTCTACAAAGATTTCACGTTACAGATCGACATGGCTTTCAACGTGTTCTTCCTTCTCTACTTTGGCTTGCGGGTAAGTTTGGGCAACACTGCCCAGTATCACAAAAGGGCATGCAAGTCGGGGACCCAGGGACCATCCCCCACCAGTGCCTGCTCTCACAGGCCAGATGAAGCTCAGTGTTTCCAGGGAGACATCGTACCTGCGTTCTGATTTCAGTCTGTGAGAGAGCCCTTTCCTTAGCACAGCATTTTCTGAAGTACACGTTAATTGTGTTCACAGGAAGAGAAATAGGAATTGAAATAACTATTATGCCTCCACTGGCCGACAGTTTCTCTTCCTTCTATTCAAATATGGGGGCATTTTTCCCTTAAATAGAACCAAAAAAGCTTTCTACCCTTAAATATGTTTACCGGTGCTCACTTCGCTGAATCCTGAAAGGACAGTTGTGAGGGAGGAATCAAAGGGATAGGGTAGCAGAATTTGAGGCTTAGGGGGTTTATACTACACCCTGTATATGACTGGAGCTATACAGATGTGGAGTGTGTGTGTGTGTGTGTGTGTCTTTGTGTCTGTGTGTTTGTGTGTGAATACATCCGTATATGCTTTATTTATTGTTATAATGCTGTTGAAAACAGCCTAATCTTTCTCCAAGGCTAATGTAGCACATAGTCACTTTTTAGAAAAAGACTGTATATCTGAATTCTAATACAAAAATAACATGTAATTGGTGTGTGTGTGTGTGTGTGTATATATACACACACACACACACACACACACACGTGTGTGTATATATATATATGTGTGTGTATATATATATACACACACAGACAATGAGACAAATAACATCTCCCTCTAGAGCCTCAGGAAAACCAAAACATACCCTTTGGCAAGAGTTTAGTTTGAATGTTAGCACCGTGCTTCTCATTTTTTTTTTTCTTCTCTTTTCTTTCCCCTAGTTTATTGCAGCCAATGATAAGCTGTGGTTCTGGCTGGAAGTGAACTCTGTCGTAGATTTCTTCACAGTTCCCCCAGTGTTTGTGTCTGTATACTTAAACAGAAGTTGGCTTGGTAAGTCGATCTCTCTTTCTTTCTTCTTATTGGTTCCTGAGCCATGGTTGAAATGCAGAATCTAAAGTGGACCAGAGGCTTAGAGTTTTGGAAGTTGATGGTGACAGTTCTCTTTGGAGAACTAGACTATAAGGATTTGCACAGTTCGTGTTTCAGGTAATGCAGTTTTACATTGTCGAAGCACTGTAAAACTGGTCATCACTCTCAGAGTCAGGAACTCTACATTTATGGTTCTGTCACTTTTCATTCAACGCAGAGTCCGTACTGGACAAATAAGCCCCCAGGGATAACGCCAACTTTCTGAGTAGCTGGTTCATGCACCCCAGAAAACCTGCCTGCCAAAGTTCACTTCTAGCTGCTTCTTAGTTTTATGAAAAGTGGGTCCTGCATGGTTTATTTATAGTTATGAGTTCCTTTGTGGGGCAGAGTAGGGTAAGCTTCTTGAGTCACCCCTCACCCTGAAGGAGATTGAGCTTCCTTCCCGTGTCAAAGGAAGAGCTTAGTCAAAGGCTGGTGCTGTGTTCACATTTCACTTTCTGCTCTCCTTGGCAGGTCACTTCCTGTTTCAGAATAAGGACAATTTGGTGGGAAAAGTAACTAGCTCAGAGACTGGTTATGGCAGCTAAAGGCTTAGAGAAACAGCTTCAAGGTTTTCTTTGCCATGATGAATAATATTCCCAGAATGCTTCTGCTGCCATAAGTCTCCAGGGGAAGAAGGGAGGCTGAAACAGGATTCAGAGGACCTTTGGGGTTCCATCTGTCTTTATTTTTAGAAAATTTGATCATAACCTAATTTTTTTTCAAAGTAAAATATATGTGTTGCAGTCAGTATAAACATTCAAATATGTATATACATAAAGAAAATATTAATCATCTCTTCCCCCTGCATTCATCACTGCCCGCTCTCTGGGACGCTCAGCGTTAACAGACTTCTACACTATGCTTCATGCTTGTTTCACCACAAACAAACATGGATATGCACATATAATAGTGTTTTAGGGGTGGTGGGCTTTGTATAAAATAATGTGTCAATCACATTGTAATACAATTTGGTTTTCTTACTAATAAATGATGGAAATCCCTTCAGCTCCATAATAATTCATTTTATAACAGTTGCAGAAAATTTCCCAAATTGTACTACAGTTTATTCAGTGATAATCCTAATGATGGACCCTATTGCTTTATTTTTCTACTATAACCAATAGTTTAATAAATACCCTCATCCACGTACCTGTACAATTCTATTTCTATAGATAGTTCTAGGTTCTGGAAGAGGACTGACTTACTGGATCAAAGTATATGTGTATTTTAGTTTGTACAAATGTTGATGGATAATGTTTCAAAAATGTTATATCAAGAATATGCTTCTACTAGCAATATATTTCGATGTCCTTGTTAGCACTGTGAATTTATTAGATACCTACTATCAAGTATTTTTAAAAAGCATCTTTTATATATAATATATGTAATAATCATATACACACATATGTGTGTGTGCCTGTGTGTGTGTGTGTATCCTATAAGGATTCTATTTTCTACCACTTTTCCCATTAGAATTGTATTCCTTTTCTCAATGGAAAAGTTTTCATACTTGATATGAGATGTGCTTGCTCAGACTGAGTTTTCTAGCCGGCACGATGAGACCATTAGAGCTGCACACAAGTCTGAGAAGTGTCCTCAGCATGACCTAAATATGCTCCGGAGCCAAGGGTCCTGGCTGCCTCAGCTTAACTATCGACTGGCTTCATGACACAGGGGACTCACTTTTCATCACTTGGCCTGTTCTTCATCTGTAAAATAAAGGTTGGGCTGGATGATATCTGAAGTTCTTTCCATTCAGGAAGTCTCTAAGACGCTTGTATTATTAATGAGAAATTTGGGATCTAAGTTTTTGAGGAGGATTGGGAAGTTAGTGAAATTAAATCATCAACATTTCTGAGTCAAAATTATGCGTGGGCTGCTAACCAGGGCTCTTTCTAAACCATCCCATTGTGAAGGGCCCCCCCGCCACACAAACACACACATACACCCAGAAAGCCTTAAACAAAGAGACAAGGAATGAAGGAAGGGTGGAAGGTAGGTGGGGAGGGAGAAAGGGTAGGGAGGAGGAAAGTAAGAAGAACTAAAGGAAGGAATGTGCCTTCTCTACCTGGCTGTGCTCTAATTACTCTGTGGACATCGAACAACCACTTGCCTTTTCTGGACACTCGGTTTTCCCATCTGAAAATTGGAAAGTTTGGACTAAATTACTACTTTCCAGTCCTTACACTTCATGAAACTGAATTTTATGTGAAGATTCATTCTCCCTTGGTCCCCTGTTGTCTTAGATGATTGGGGATACCCCTTCATGACTGTGGTGGAGGCATCCCTCTTCTGAAGCCGGCAGATCTCACCCTAGCTAAGGGTGTGGAGCCAAGTCTCCTTGTTGTGAGTGAAATGTTCCCTAGAGAAGCTTAGTGTCAGGAGAACTTGGATATTTTAAAAACCCATGCCTTTTTGTGGATGGTTTTAACCTGATATTTAGAGGTGTGCTCTGATTTAGTGAAAAACTAGCAGAGCAAACAGAAAAAGAGGGAGAAAAAGAAAAGGGAAGAAAACGAGTTATACTTTTGCATCAACTGTGGTTGTTCTTCAGAAAAAAAACTGTGCTTTAAAATGTGCTTCAGTTTGTTCATTAATTGAACAATATGTATTAAGCACCTACTGCGTACCAGGCACTTTTCCAAATGATTAGGAGACAACAGTGAATAAAATAGCATACTATCCCTTTGACATTGCAATAGGGGAAGGATAAGAAAAACATGAGTAAATAAGTATGTTATATAGTATATTAGGAGCATAGGTGTTATTGAAACTAAAAATATAGGCCAATGACCTTTTGGGCTATAAAATAATAAGAAGAAGAACAACTACCCTCTCTCCTCTTGTAAGAGAAAACACCTTTAATGAAATAGTTCTTGTTTTTTGATAACTAAGCCCCTTGGGTCAGATTCAAAACTGGTCTGTCTGTTACAGAAGAGAATTTGGTAGAATAATATTTCAAGAAGGTTCCCGTCTCTGATTTAATACACGGGTTATTACATTGTGAAACAATTGTAGCAATGAGCTGTCAGAGATAGAATGAACATTCCCGTGAGGTATGGTGTACAGAGAAGGAATAATCCCCTTAAATGGGACATTTCAGGAAGTGCTGCCCTCCTCCCAGAAAATGAAAAAGGTGCTACATTTACTAGCTGAGTTTTGGGATGAGATGCAGGAAACTGAAGTCTCTCCTGCTTCTCCTGCACACACTTCCTGAGCCCTGCCGAGAGCAGAGGTCTGAGCTGTAGCCAGCACTTTGAGGGATAAAAAAGAGAACGAACACCATGACTTGCCCTTACCTTTCCCAGACCACATTTAATTTCTGATTTTTAATATATGGTTGCATAGTATATAGCATAGTGTTTACTTACTTTATTGTGTGCATTCGACAGCCAACATTTATTCTGGTTCTACTATGTGCTGGGCACTCTGATAAGCCCCTTACATATATGAACTCACTTAATCCTCAGAGCAAACCTCTGATCTAGGAATTAGTTTTCCCATTTTGCAGATGAGGAAACTGAGACTTACAGAAGCTAGCTGTCTTATCAAAGGTCACATAGTTGGGAGTAGTGGAAGAAGGGATGGTTTGCTCCGGAGTTAGTCTGACGTAATGTCCATATTCACATTGTCCTTACCCTTGGAAGATCTGGGCTTTTGAAGACTGGGTTGTGGATGACAGAGCTGATTTTGCTGCTTTATGTTGGCACCCCTCCATCTCTTCTTACTTAGAGAGGGCTTCACTTCAGGCGGGCAGGGAAGAGATCTTATTTAAGAACACATACCCTCACATCTCCTCTTTACCTTCTCATTCCTCCTTGCCCACCTCTAGTCTCTAGAGTTGCCACTAGAACCAGGGAAACACAGAGCTAGTGTGTGTATCGTAAATCCCAGGGTACCTTAGCCACTTGGGGATCAGAGATGCTTCACCTGAGAGAAAGATGAACTAGGGGCTGCCACACATCCTTAGTTAATAGAGCAGAGTGAATCAGAGGCAAGCTCTGGGTTCTACCATCTCAATTCACATTTTGGCTCAGCCACTTGCTGATGGGTCACTCTGAGCTAGGTTGTTTTTACCTGTCTTAAACTCAGTTTTCTCACCTGCACAATAGGGATATTGATAGCAATCATCTTCTAAAACTGAAGTGGGAATTCAATGAGGTAATGTGAGTTAAGTACAGTGTACGTAGGACAAGCTTAATGAGTATCCTGGGCCTCTCTTTCTAACCTACCTATCTTATTTTAAAGTGCCAAGGAAGAAAACAAACCAGAATGGAACCAAAAATAAGGCAGCGGGATGTGAGGACATCCACGTTGGCAGGCGGCAAGTCGCTGCTTATTTTAATTCCTATTCCCACACACTAGCTTATTCATTTTTGTTTCTCTCACATAATTTTTATCCTACCTCACTAAAATAAATGTACCTTGAGATGAGAGATATATCTTATTTTGAGACTTGAATAACATGCTCTGAGGAGAACTTTTTGTTTGTCTCATTCTTTTGGGAACTGTATCCCCAAGGTAGGTCAGTGGGCTGTGCCTCCTTTGTGTGTTTATTATTTTTTGTTGAGGGTCATCTTATGTGGTTAAAAGAAGAGAGTGAAACTAATCTGTTTTTATTGAGCACCTACTGTGTGCTCAGCATGGGGATGAGAAGAACATGCTTGGCCACCCTATTTTTCCAACATTGTCCCCGTTCTCTGACTGATGAAATCAGGGGCTGGTAAGGAGCCACCATCATTGGGCCATGGCTGAAAAACTGTAAACCTGGTTTTCTAGCTCACGTTAGACCTGGCCTTGGATCTTAGACTTTAGAATCTTCAGCAGACTCTTCTAGAAAATAGAAAACTATGCTAAAAAAAAAAAAAATAGAAAAATGAGTTAGTGCCCAGCCATAGGGCAATTAAAATGATTTAGGA